AAGGGCTGTGTTCGGCTGGCATTTTTTGGCTGGCTACAGTTTCCAGCCAGAAAATTATTTTTCTCCCACAACATTTCAGCATGAACAGTGTTTTCCAGTATGAACAGTAAAATTTTAAGTCCACTCGTCAAAGAACCGCCACGTGGACCTTCATCAGTCCGTGTGTCGTTCGTTAGTACGTTTATCTTATAAGCCGTACTATTTAAATAAACAAATATTATTTTTTCTTTCACAACAAATCAACGAATATTACTTTAACCATAGCTTTTCCACGAAGCGAAGAAGACCCTGGTCTGCCAGTAGCTGCAGTATAGGCGTGGAAACAAAAATAATACCGGAGTGCTCTCGTCCACACGTTTGAATCCCCACCGAGCGGAGGCAAAACAAAAAAATTCCCCACCAAGCGCCCCGTCCACACCTGCGAGGGAGTCTCTAGCAGCTCCTGGTCCACTGATTCACATATCCTCTCCTCGCCCTCACGCACGGAGTCGTCGTCCATTCACCATCGCGCCGCCGCAGATTCATTCCCCGTAGCTGTCGCCTGTGCTAGCTCTCTCCTTCCCCTTCCCTTCCCCATCCGCGCGAACAGGACAGATGAACAGCTGCGAGCCCGCTCCTTCCTCTTCCCTACCAAAGCAGTTCGTTGGCCACGTCGTGGAGTCAGAGGTTGAGAAGCTAACCAGTGTTGATTCCGCTGGGGAGTCCTCGATCTAGGCGCGCGGGCATCGGATCGAGTGTTCTGGCATGTGCATCGACTCTCACGGCGACATATACGTCGCCGACTCAGGACCCGTTTAGATGCCTCTAGAACCTAAAGATGGTGCTTACCTAGTCCGGGCTAACTGCAGTTAGGTAAGAAACGTGACGCGAAACTTTCGAACCCAATATAATTAGACACACCAATTACCAAATAAAAAGTGGCTTGTCGTGTTAAAATCCAAAAAAATTTGGATCTAAACGGGGCCTCAGAAGATGAAGATGGTGCCCTAGTCCGGGCCACTGCGGGGAACACGCGTTGGCACGTTCGTTTGGCTATGGCTCATCGTAAACGATCGTAAATTTTTAATCGAAACAGTATTTTTCTCTCACATAAATCGGTCAGCAATATCTTTTCACAAACCAAGCAATAATATGAACCCGTCAAACGAACAAGGCTCACGAGCTCATGCCCGGTGCCGCAAAAAGTGGGGCTAAGCACGGACGCCACGTGCTACCGGCAACGCCGCGGGTCTGCGCAGATGGCACGAGCTCGTCTCTGTCGGAGTGGAAGACGAAGGTCGGGGCATGGCTGACGGTGCGGTGGAGAGGGACTGGAGCGTGCTTGTGAGCAGTTGAGGTAGATTGGACGGGGAGGCCTGGATGTGCCGCGTATGAGTTCGTGGCATGTTTTTTTTTCTTCCTATAAAATTGTGTTTGTTTTTTCTTCACTGAAATTGCGACAAAAGACACAGGCTTTTTAAGGGGCACAATCGTCATTTTACATATGTCTTGGTATGCGTGCCTAAACAAAAAATACAAATATTATGAGACGAAAGGGTAGTAGCAAAATTTAGGCCATAGATGTAGTCCCTCCGTCCCAGACTCCAGTGTATTTGCACGTTTGGGTTCAAAAATTTTCCCATATTAATCGGTCATGTATAGGCCTGAATCCGGCGGAGCATACAGCGGTGGCAGGAACCATCAGAGCAGTGCAGCGCTAGACAGCCGCACAACACCAGTGTGTGTCAGACCAAAACAATAAAAAAACTAAAAACAAAAGGAAAACAAAAAAAAAATCAACGGAGGCGCTCCATTGGCCCCATCCATAAACTGTTGGGGCCGCGTGACCCATCCTAGCATAATAAAATGGCTGTCGTACTGGAGCTGTCGTACTGGAGAACTCTCTTCCCTCCACACAGCTGTCCACCGTGCCAATCTCAGAAATGCAAATAATTTGGGACGGAGGAGTAACTATTTATTTGCCACGTAAGCAAAAATAAGTGACATCCTGCTGGACGACGCGGCGCTTCGTGCACGGGCAGCACGGCCCGTGCAGCACCGGCTTTACACGCGCCCGGCATGCAAGCATGAAGGCAGCTGCTTTATCCTAGCCTGATGACGTGCTCGCTGCTCCAGCTACTTTGCATTAGAGTTCGAGAGACTTCCTGCAACGACAAAGTCGTATATATCGAATAAAGCAACCAGAACTTTAACTATTGACGTTTAATGTTACACTAGGGCAATAGGGCACGTACAACGGGACCTTTGAGCCGTCTGCGTCCAGAAAATTTTGTAAAAACACCCTCGTGAGCAGCAGACGGCACGGGTCGTTGTCTCGTGAGTCGCCGGCTTTGGCCCGTGCTCCGAGGAATGAACTACGCACGAACGGATCTCGTGTGGGTGAGAGCGACGCAGCAGTCCACGGAAGTGTTTGTTAGCTTCTTGTCCTTTTCCAAAGAATGCACAAATTTACTAAAAATTATAAAATATATATAAAATCAAATTTGAATTCAAAAATTATGATTCAAATTTTGTTAGGTTCCTTCCGACCAGAACTACAACTAGAAGTGACTAGTATAGTGTCCGTGCTAACGTCATAACTTTATTTCAGAAATTCACATGAAAAGTACAAGAAAACAATTACGAGAGATTTCAATTCAATGCATCATTTCTAGTATATTATAGAAACTTGTCCTACATACTCGTATTAGTATTAGGACACTATGGGAAAAATATATTCATGATTGATTATGTTGCTGTAATTACTAGTCTAAAATATTGTAATTATATTCAACTTAATTATGCTTGATCTGTTTCGTATTAAGTAGCAATACACTGGTATACAAGGATCATATTCATATTTAATCGTGGCAACATACAAGTATTAAATAACTTGTAGACGGTTAAATAGACAACCCATTGACGAGCTATCTATTTAACTGTCTGTGCGTGAGTTTCAAAAACTTATGGGTTGTACATGCCCTTAGGCTACGTGTTAAGCGCAGCTAAAGGTCATAGGTATACTTAAATTTTCAAATCACAAATGCCACATTAATTTTCAAACTACGTTCAAGAAAATGTAAGAAGACCAATTCAAAAGGCTGATCGAAATATCGAAAATGCTATTTAACAGTAACGAAAGGCAAAATGGACCGGCATAACTTAAGGCTAGTTTGAAAACTTAAATTCTCTTGGGATCTTAGATTTTTCCCCACAAAGGTGTTATTTAAATAAGCCATTCAATTTTTCATAGGGGCTTTCCATGGATTTGCCTCCCCTTGCTTGCAAATTAGACCCTACCGAACAAATCAGATCACTCATGAAATTGTGTGCTTCTCCCCATTCAGGTACTCAGAACACACTTCATAGTGGGGGAAATCTGTTCCATTTCGATGACTTCTTATATAGTTATACGTACATAAATCTGACATGAGATACGTGCAAGTATTATTTCCTGCCGAATATGTTTAAACCCGTGGTACCTTTGACCATGATCTGAAGGGAGGCGATGGTGGCAGTCGTCAGACGCCACCGCCAGTTCATACACGGAAGCGCCGTTATAAATGCCGACAGCCCAAAAGCTCGCGCAGTGTCTTCCAACAATTTCTCCTATAATAACCCCATGTTAGTTGTCAAATAACCCTATTAATTTATGCTAAAATTTAGCATATTGATACTTATGCTAAAATATTGTGGAAGGAAAATACATTGGTCTATGGCCGATAAGTAGTTCGAATAAGCTCGAACGAAAGCCTCGCCTAAGGATGGCAGCGGGGCAGGTTTGGGGCGGATATCCGCGGGTTTCGGGTCCAGCGGTTTTGGTTTCGGGGACAGTTTTGCACCCACGGTTTTCGGGTTCGGATAACCGAACGGTTGCGGGTTTGGGGCGGATCCTCATTTTCCCCCGCGGATCACCAACGGAGCCCCGAAATCCTGTCCGACCCTCTTGGCCTCTCGCTCACCCCACCCGATCCGTCGTCCTTGCAATGTCCACCCATCTCAGATCGCCTCACTTTGCAGACCAAAGCAGAGCGCAGCAGACGACGAAGCAGGGGCAGTGCCACCGCCTAGGTGCCCACCCCACCAGATCTGCTCCATCGGCCAGGGTCAGGCGGCGGCCACCTGCCAGCAGCCGCCTCACCTCACGCTTGCAAAGACTCGCGCTCTCCCCACCGCGACCCCACCCGATCCACCCGTCGCTCGCCCACCGATCCCCTTGCCCGGGCCTCCTCCCGCCAAGCCAAGCGCGCCACCGCCTTCCCTACACCTCGCCGCCTCTCCTGTTGTTTCTCCGGCCCGGGCTTGGCCGACGCTGCTGGGCTTGGAGCCTGAGCCGCCTCCCGTGGCCGCCGCCACCGCAGTGTCGATGCGGACGAGAATTGCGCGCGCCCGATCCTCCGACGGAGGTCGCCCCACCGTCGAATCGGTCCGTGAAACACCGAGCTCCTCCCGCTCTCTGCGTCATCCTGAACAGGGGAGGCAGGTTTCGGGTTTTGGATAATTCGTCGGGTTTTGGGATCCGTGGATTTCGGTTTGAGGATGGATTTTCACCCGATATGGTGTTTGGGGCGGATTCGGGTTTCGGTTTTGGGTGCGTAGAGGTTTCGTCCGATCCAAATCCGACCCGTTGCCATCCTCAGCCTCGCCTCTTCTCGCTGCACCGTGGGCCCATCCCTACGACGGACCCGCCTCCGGCAAGACGAATTTGTACGGCCGCGAATCAGGCCCACTAACCCGGATCAAGTGGGCCAACGGGGCGCCTACCTGGCCCACATGTCAGCACCTCGTCGGTGGCCACCCGGCCTCCGCCGGCCACGCCTCACTGCGAAGTTGATACACGCACGCCCACGCCCACGCTCGCTTCTAAATAAAGAAGCCAACTGCGGAATCGCTCGCGACGCAGGAGGTGGTGGGGCGAGGCGAGCTCGTGGGACGATCGGGGGCGAAGCTTCTGGTGGTGGTGGTGGTGGCTCTCGTCGTCAAGCAGCAGGAGGGGAGAGAGGAGCCGGCGGCTGAGGTGGATGGCGGTGGAGTACCACTGCTGCTCGGCGGCCTTCTTCGAGCACATCGTCATCATCGTCGTGCTCGTGCTCTTCGCGGGCCTCATGTCGGGCCTCACCCTGGGCCTCATGTCCCTCAGCCTCGTCGATCTCGAGGTGCTCGCCAAGTCCGGCACCGAGCAGGACCGCAAGCACGCAGGTTCCCCCTCTCCTACCGTCGCCACCCGTGTTTCTCGGGCGCTCCGGTCCGGGTCCCTTCCCTTTCTCTCGCGTATGGGTGCGAGCCTGCGAGGTCATGTTGCGCGGGGGGCGTGTGCGGTGCCTGATTTGGATGTGCGGTTGGTCGGATTTCGCTGGGGCTGGTACACGAGTTGGCTTGGCATTTCGTCGACAGCTCCAGGGTGGCAGGGTGCCAGTTCGATTCGTGAGTAATAGGATAGGCGTTTTGCTTTGAGAATCGGTGGATGGTGAAACTAAAGGTTGATCAGGAGTATCGGACATTTGAACTGATAGGCTGTTTCGCCGTATTGTTGACCAGGAGTATCTGGAAACCCTGGTTGCCTCGTGTTCCTGGACTTGGCCGCCTGTGAATGGGATATGACTGGTATTGATCACCTGGCAGTGGGTTCTGAGTTTCTCTAAACATAATGAAAATGCTGCACTGCCTTTGGGCTTTGGCTTTGGCTTCACTAGACATTGGGGTTTCTTTTTTACATATAAACCAAACCAAATCTAGACACAAACTTTGGGGTTTCCTTTTTATTATATACTACTATACATATAAGAAGAGCCATTGAAAAGAACGGAGAAGTCTTCCTGTTCTTCTTCTCAAGTGAGACTTACAGTATATTGTTAGGAAAAGATGTGCGAGGCTGTGGTTTTTAGTAGAAAGCAAAATGTGTCTTCAGTTAGGTTTGTTTGATATCCGTGGGATTTTGCCACATTGAAATGGTTGGAGATGACTCCTAGGATATATATTATTTGCAGAATCTGATGTAAAAGTATTAAATTTCTATTAGGTAAACTGCAGGAAATATCTAATGCAAATTATTGCCTTGGATACCTTTTTTCAGCAGTACTGACAGTATGACACTATGTTTCTTTGTTGCAGCTAAGATTTTACCTGTTGTGAAGAACCAGCACCTTCTGCTATGCACTCTTCTAATCTGCAATGCTGGCGCCATGGAGGTGCTTCTCTATGCTTCCAGTGACTCTTGGATTACAAAAGTTCGAAACCCCACTATAAATAAGTTGTGATGATATGCTTGTCTGTGTATAGGCTTTGCCCATATTCCTTGATAGCTTGGTGACTGCTTGGGGTGCGATTTTGATATCAGTGACACTGATTCTGCTGTTTGGTGAGGTGAATCATCCAATTTTCACTTACGGATGCTCAGCTTCATGTGTCAAGTTTGGTATCATGTGCTAATATTTTGGTATGAACAGATCTTACCACAGTCCATCTGCTCACATTATGGGCTGGCTATTGGTGCTTCAGTTGCTCCATTAGTTCGTGTGCTTGTTTGGATCTGCTTTCCTATTGCTTATCCTATAAGCAAGGTAACAGGCGTACTCCCTGATAGAGTGTATTAACATTACTTGACGAGTTCTCCAATATATAATGTGGACTGAAAATTTCCTCTGTTTCAGCTATTGGACTATTTGCTGGGTCATGGTCAGACAGCTCTCTTCCGTAGAGCTGAACTAAAGACACTTGTCACTATGCATGGGAACGAGGTATACCAATTATGTTGTCTCCTAAGTAGCAAGTCTATCTTGCAAATGTTTCTATCTATCTGTAGCTTTCGGCACGATCTCTGTATGCTCCCACTAGGAAACAATCACATGGGCATTGGCTAACCACAGTCTCTACATAGCACATTCGTACTTTGTTTGCAGGAAAATATTGTGTACTGTGTTAGTTTAAAGCTTGGTTGCTTGATTCAAGCATCTTGTATAAGAACAGAATTGTATGCTTGGTATTGGCAAATAAGTCTTCTTCAAATGGATCCGTGAAGTCTTCCATAGCTGATGTGCATGTTTAAGCAGGGAGGATATTGAGCTATTCCAACTCATCACAGCCAACTTATGATGGGTGTCAAGTTAGATTATACAGCTTATCATAATTTGTTATCTTTCTACTTCATTTGTCAAAGTTTAGCAATCATTTTGCAGCCTTATCTGTGTCGACAATAAGGATGCAACAAGGTATGTAATTTAGTGAGTCCAATGCTTAGGAGAAGAGTGGCTGAAGGGTACTGGAACAAGCAGGGGTTTTGTGAAAACCGAAGGCATAGGATGACAATATATTTAGACCACTACCATACGGTTATGTGAGCTCGATGTTTAGGCTTTCAAAGCGGATAATACAATATAATTTCGTTTTGAGAGTCATTAGTGGATCTGTGGATGATTTGCTGGTGTGAATGTGTATTCAATGGAACACAATAAATGATGCCTACTTGGAATATCTAATGAAGTTATATGCTATAAACATCTTTTTACTGGTTTGGGCATATATGCAGCTGATCGACTTAATAGATGTGTTACGTTTATTCTGTCCAGACACATTTAGCAAGGATGTCATGGCATAGATTTTGTGAGGCATGAAAGTTTGCACGTGTATGAAAGTTTATGTTATCTTAGCTATGTTACTTGTTTGTAACTGAAACAGGCTGGCAAAGGTGGAGAATTAACCCATGATGAAACTACCATAATAGCTGGAGCTCTTGAACTGACTGAAAAGAAAGCTAAAGATGCTATGACATCCTTGTGTCAAATATTTGCAATTGATATAAATGCAAAACTTGACAGGTAATACGTCATATCTATGTCTTAAACAGCGTGCTGCAGTTATGCAGAATTGTTGTTAACAAACTGTGCCATTGTCTCCTTCACGCAGGAATCTGATGCAAGAGGTACTTGATAAAGGGCATAGCAGAGTTCCTGTTTATTATGAAAAGAAAACAAATATTATTGGATTGATATTGGTAATGTCCTGCTATTAAAATATGCTATGCATTTTTTCAGGAAAATTTGGAAATTTCTAGCATTTTCCATCTATCCTTCAGTTGTCTGTCCTTGTTGAAGAAAGATCTTTGCGTAGAATAGGATTCTCCACAGTGGTAAGGATTACCAATTACTAGCCAAATAGAACATTCAAATTAAGTTCAGAAGAGATTCAGGTAAATGGCAGGGGAACTAAACCCAAAAGGGTTGCCATTGTCAATCCTTGTGAGAAGTAAGTTGACAGCAAACAGTTCATGGATGTAGTGTTGGTTTAATAAATTGTTTGCACTTGTATTTTTAATCAAGATAGAAATTTGTGGAAGATTGATTTATTAAGCTGGACACACATAACATACTTTATTATTTTGTTAAGGAAGAAGTACTTCAAACTTACCTCCTGTTCACGTAGCTAAGGTATTATGCTCAAGGCAGGTGTAGCTGTGATTTAGTAAAGGCTGAAACATGTGAATGTGTAAATTGATTTAATATGAAGCAATGCTATCAACAATGGCATGTGTGACATTGGTGAGAATTGCTGAGTTTTTTGTAGTCTCTCTTCTATGATCGACTAATACAATATAAAAATGTGGGATGTGTTGCACGTGTGTTAATATTAGTGGCTATGACTTTTGAGTATAGAAATTTCTTTTTTGGTAACCTTTGCGGATATAACTGTATTGCATTTATCTTTATGGATTTTCAGGTGAAGAATTTATTATCGGTTAATGCTGATGATGAGGTTCCTATAAAAAGTGTAACTATCCGCAAAATTCCTCGGTAATATATGAAAGTTCTTTCTATCTAACGGTTTTAGGTGGTTTCTGTAGTGAACTATAACTCTGTTTCCATATGTATCAGTGTTATTGGAAATACAAAGAATGACCTATCACATATCCTTGATGCTCCACAAGAGAACCTATTTATACCAGTCATGAACATCGCTATAGGATGGGTGGGTCCTAAATAACTAGTGTGTAGTGCGGTTTCAGGCTTTCAGCTAGTTTGTGTTTTCACTATTGGGGCATTGTTGGAAGAACATTCATATATATGACATGTATAATTAGGTTTGCATACAAGTGGCTTATAGTTCGGTTATTGTACAAGTCGTGGCTCTCAAACTCGTATACTAAACATATATCAAGTTCAAATTTGGATATAGGAAAGTGAATAGTTTATTTCTTGAGCAATTCGAATGTTGGAGCCTTCTATTTTGATCATCATATTTTGAACATATTACTATAGCAAAGACCTAATATATATTCAGCTCACACATGTGCCCCTTGCTGGATTTCAGTGTTCTGGAAGATATGCCCCTCTATGACATCCTAAACGAATTTCAGAAAGGTCACAGCCACATGGCAGTAGTCATAAGAAAAAAGAATCCAAGTTACCCAACTGCTGAACAAGCTGCCAATGATGGTGGAACTTTCGGTGAGCTTCTATGCAGTTGTTACACCTTATTAGTCATCCTTAGTAACTCACATCTGCTATGCATTATCTTCTCAATATATCTTACTCTCTTTGCTTTCTTTTCATTGGGTGTGGAACAAAGAGGTGTCCATTGCTATTGATGACAAGAACAGCGAAAAGGTCGTGAAGAACCTTCCACCACCGCTGCAAAGATGGAAGAGCTACCCTAACACTCAGAACGCATCAAATAGAGGAAATAGGCCTAAAAAATGGTCCAAAGATCAAGCAGACGTTCTGCAGGTCCATAAAGAACCCTTGCCCACATTGAGCGAAGATGAAGAGGCTGTTGGTATCATAACCATGGAGGATGTCATAGAGGAGCTTCTGCAGGTTAGTGGTCTGCAAATTTCTAAGCTTTGTTTAGGCTGTCGAGTAAACTGTCTTGTTGTCTAAAATGCTTGCCTACCGATAGCGCATTCAAACCAGATAAACTTTTATCGTAGTTGTGTTACGAAATTATAGTGATTATTTTCGTTGTTAGAAAACTATGGTGATTATTTTATTTATTGGAAACTATAAAGATATTACGAAATTCAGTAAAGTTAGTTGAGGGCATACATGTCCTCATTATAAATAGGATTAAGTCCATTTTTGACCCCTCAACTCTTGTCTTTGTCTAATTTTGAACCCCAGCTATAAATCCAGGTAACTTAATCCTTATAAATATATGGAGGCTCAAAAGGTCCTATCTTGTGCACATATGGCTTGCGCACCGCAATTGTTGTCCTACAAGGTTTCATTTGCAACATTTATTGTACAGTGATTCTTTTATATTTTTGGTTCTTGTTGACGCAGGAGGAGATATACGACGAGACAGACGTACATGAGGAACAATGACGCTGGCATTGCGCCCACTGTTTACAGTTCCCTCCATCTGTTAGAAAGTGCGGCATATGTAATGTATGTAAACTTATGTATAGACAGACAGATACATTGAGAGATGTTTTAGCCGTAGACCGTAGCCGTTCATTGTAGTACTATATAGGTGTCTGGCTGTCTTGAGTATTGATAAAGACTGTTCGGAGGGCGTCGTCCTCGTCCAGAACAGCAACATGGCTTTGGTCCGGGAACTGTAGTGCGTACTTGGCTCCCGGGAATGAAACAGAACCGTCGACGCGTCTGTGTAGCTGGGTTCAGAAGAAACCACAATAAGATATTTGTTTCTTTTTATGTTGGCCGCAGGCTGATACCGAGATCTCCACATTTTGAGGCAGGCAGGCTGGTGCAGCCGTACAGTCTACGGAACGCAACAGTAACGGTATGTGAATACCGCTCCTCGTTTTCTCCATGGGAGTTTATTTGAGATTGTCTACCAGCTACTGGTACCGTTACCGTAACACAGTCACGGAATGTGAACAGCGCACGCTTGTCTGCACACCTCCGCTAGCGCTATGGGAGGCCGGAGGCCGGCCGATGCAGTAGAAAGGAACGGCGCGGGCGCGTAGAATCAGAAATTCAGAATAGAGGGGCCGTGTCACGGCCGCAGCAAGAGAGCCTTGGTCGCGTCCTTTGCAAGAGCTGACGACGGCAACACTACTGTGTGCTGATGCCTTCTTGGAAGCGTCGTGAAAGGTGCTCCCCCTCACTCTGTTGGGTTTTTCAGATGAACTCTGCCTAGGCAGGATGGCGACGAATGACATCGTGCTCTCCCTAGAGATGTTGCTAGTAGAACCGGCCTAGGTGGCTAGAGCCAGATAACGGTAAACATGAAAGGATTGTTCCTAAGTGGAATCATCCCCAGGATTGTCTTTCACCGCCAAATTAAGTCACGGGGATGGTGGATCAGGCGATCAGCTCTGCTGCAGATTGCAGTGTAGCCCCACATTCCTGCTATCGGAGACGAAGGGGATTCGCCATCGCTGCACCAGGACCCACGTAGGTTGAGTTATTTTTTATCACCTCAATCTTCAAGCATAAAGTGGTAGTATCTCATAAATCAACTCACATCACACCACACACACGCACACGCGCACACACACTAGATCTATACAGTTACGAGATGTGATAGTTGTAATCTATCCATGCAATGCGTTGGGCACTGATGAGGCACCCGAGGCCGAGTTGGAAGGCCAATCAAATTTAATTTCTCCTTCCACTTCGATTCTTCGAATACACTATCTAGAAAGCTTTCGCCGGTTGGACTTTTGATGAAAGGCCAATCAAGATTTAACCGTGATGATCTGCTTAACATTACCGGTTCTAATTGCAAAATTTTCTCTTACGGGCATACGGCGCAGCCGCCGCAGCACGTTTTAACCATCTATATCAACTTTTTGATAGTTGATTGATGATACATGCATCAACGTAAGTTCTACGGAGTATGAACTCATAACACGTACGTACAGATACAGTAACCGTGTATACAGTACTACCTACGACTCCTGTTTCATGAGATGATAGCCCACCGCGGCAGTCTGCACTCTGCAGTATGGGAGTATCCGTTACGATCCGAGCAGTGCTCGCCGCCACTGTTGTACACTTGTACACAGCCTCGCGAGTCGCGCCACTGTCCCCTGGCGCTGCTAGCCATCTATGGGGCATGGGCAATGGCGAGCCAGCCGCGATCTCCCTTGCCGCCGTGCTGTGTGGGCTGCCTGCCTGCCTGCGCGGCGGCGCGCTGGGCAAGCAGCGCCAGCCCGACGCAGGTAGCACCGCAGAAAGCAGAGCCTCGCCGCGTGACGCAGGGTGGACGGGAAGACGGGTGGTGGGGGCCTGATCTGGGCGCGCAAACCACGCCTTCAAAGAAAACGCGGCCGCGCTCGGTGAGTCGGTGGGTGTGTCCCTGGCGCCGGCAGGTCAGCACGCCGTGCGGCCGTGACACACTACCATGTGGAGCTGCTGTCGTCCAGCGGCGTGCTACGCACGCGTAGCACCGCATCCTGCTCCCGTGCTCCCCGGCCGGGACACAGGCGTGGTCCGCGTCGCGCGTGACTTTGCAGCACCATCCGCGCCGCGCACGTGGGCCTCTCCAGCCACTTGGGGGGCCTGCACTTAAACCTCTGGCCGCGTATTTCGCCGCGTTGACGCAGGGTGGACTTTGGATATGTGATGTTTTGGGGTTTCAAAAACACAGAATCATTAAGAGGGAACATAGTAACAAAGCCAACCATTTTGAACTTTGGATATGAATATGATAGTTTTGAAGAACAGGCGAATCATTGTTGAGTTTCGAATATATATAAAAAAAAGATATGAATATGGATGTGTTATTTGTCTTGAAATGTTGTTTCATATAGGATATTTTTGACATGTTCCATAAATACTTTATAACAGAAAAATACCAGTAAAAGTTGTGTAAATATTCAAAACATCACTTGTTTTTTTTATTGAAGGGACAAGGGAGTACTCATATGTACTAGTCATAACAAATCATCTGTACCTTATTTTGCATTTTCTAAAAAACGAATATTAATGTCATGGAAACATGTATTTTAACGTAGCAAGACTGGCACTGATCACAATAAATAGCAAGAAGAGAAACATAAGGCACTACTGGCTAGATATTGTATTGCATAGGGGTAGATAGTGATGGGGAGCATGATGAGGGTGTATGTTGAGACCTGAAATTAACTAGGATTGTTTCCAAGGTTTTCCTTACATAGATGATACTGAGAGCTTGTGGTTGTTTATTTAGAAAGATGGATCATGTGACAAACATATATGCTGTACTGGGCAAAGCATATGTGCATTTAGGTGCCTCTGCTATGTTTATGTCAGACTTATCGAAACTGCTTGCTGCAGCAAGTGTTGCGACGGCTGCTACAGCAAGCCTGCCTACAACTACTATTCTTTGTAGTAGAAAATAAGCAGCAGCAACTGTTGTAGCTACTTCAAAAGCACAGCTGAGTAGGTCCCATGAGTTGCACAAATCGACCCGATCCAATCTTGATGCATTGTAAAATCTTCTTTTTTGGTACTCATCATTTTCTACTTGAACACATATTTTGTTTTTTATTCTCTTAACCTGCACCCTTTCTTAGGACTAAAAGGATTTGTTGCTGTTTTGGTCTCTCTAAGTGTAATGCTTGGGTGAGAGGAGAGCACGGGAGGCTTGATTGGAGATGATAAGAGCAGTCGTATGGTGCCCCTAAAGGTTGAGCTTCTAGCTGGAGAAAATATTGTTCAGGTAATAGACCTTGGTATTACTGGGATGTTGTTGGCTTCCGTTGCATTAACCTTTTCTCTGCGCTCATCACCAGTGAGTCATCTATATTATTGTACTTTTTTTTTGCACGCTATCATGAGTGAGTCATCTGGTGCTATTTTCCTCGACTCTTTTTACCATATTCCCCCTTTAATTTTTAAGCGTTAATCTGCTTGAAGCAAAGTTCAGATCTCAAATGTAGTTTTGCTGTCTTACATTACCAAAATCCCAAATACAAATGCCAAATAATGTTTACTTTTGCTTCTATTACTTATGCCCATACAAATCCCAAATACTTGTGCCAATGTAAAATTGTAAACCCCTGCACCTATTTTGCTACCTATTCAGACTGTCAGTGGTGTTTGAGTTGTCATTTTGTTTAGACTGAATACTGATGTGTGATCATTGGCATTTCCCCTAATTTTTGCTTGGTGCAGCTAGTGTGCCGATGGAGAACTAGCCACCATTCTTCCCCATCATCAACCGTAACATTGCCAATGAGATACCGGCCAAGAAGTTGCAGTATCTTGTATTTTTGCAAACTGGCTTGTATGTTGGCATGGACCATTCTGTTGCATCTGTGATTTAGTAGTAGCAAGTCATTTTCTTATCTACATGTCTACTAGATATGGTGTATGTGAAAGGTTACTATCAGTGATTGGTCATTTTCTTATCTACGACTGTACTAGATATGGTGCAGCACACTATACTTGCTTTTTTAAATACAAAAATTGTCTATTTAGGAAGACGTTGTTGCCTAACGAATGAAACTTAAATTGCCTAAGAAAATACAGCTGGTGTTAGGTTTTATGGAGGTGTCAATACCCAGCATTTAGAGCTGAATAATTAGCAATTAGACATTCTTTGGCACGGTGTAAGTACTTGTGCCTTAGCCTAATTATTTATTACTTTACAATCACCCTCTCACAGCTCACAATTAGAGGTAGAAGATGAACTTGAGCACAGAATGCAGCACAAGCACACCTCTGCTGGAGTGCTGGTGCAGCAAATTATACTGTTTTTCATTGCTAAACAAGCTGTAACCACATTTAGTGCACCTGCTACTTCTATAGCCACTACTAGCTACAGTTGGGCAGTGTTGGGCTGAGATCGGCCACTACCTATTGCATACTGTTGTCATGCTGTTACTGTAGATAGAGAATGCAGCAAAGTGACCTGCAGCCAAGGTGGAGTGTGCGGCAGGCTAGATAAAAAAGTGTAGACGAGCAATACAGTACCACCGAAAAATGTGCATGTAAATTTAGTTAAGCAATTTAATATCATTAGTCAAGCAAGTTATTAGTAATTTGGTGGCAAATTTATTTGTGTCCAACACAAAAAATGTGCCTATAATCTCTACTCTTTTTACTCGTCGAGCGTTACTCTGTGCTCTAAGTGATTTAACCATGCGCAGGTGACTAGGTGCCTGTTTAGTTCCTAAAATTTTATAAAATTTTTCAAGATTTCCGTCACATCGAATCTTTGGACACATACATGAAACATTAAATATAAATAAAAAATAAAACTAATTACACAGTTTAGACGAAATTTACGAGACGAATCTTTTAAGCCTAATTAGACTATGATTGGACACTAATTGTCAAATAACAACGAAAGTGCTACAGTACCATCTCCCAAAAAATTTCACTAACTAAACAAGGCCTAGGAGAAGCCTAAGATTCCATTTTCTCGA